ATACAGAAGCATAAGAAACATCGCAATCTCCATCGTGTAAATAAAGACAACAAACGTTGTTGGGAATGATGCAACTATGGTATATGGGCAAACATCAAAGGCGGCATCCTTTACCGGACAGTTAAAAAGCAATCCGATGTGCTTCCTGGAGTGCCATTTGCGTCTCTGTTACAGTTCTGCCCTAAATTCACCTCTCTCCTGACAAGTGGCCTGTACTAAGTTGAGTGACCTTCTGCTGGCTGCCCGGTTTTTGCATCAGATGTGTTGCTGACCACTGGTCAGTGAGGTAAAGTCAGTCCGAAAGTGCACAGAGCTGCAAGCCAAATGGGCAGACATATGTGTATTATATACTAGACGGTCGTAAAGTTAAGTGTAGGCATAATTACGGTCATTCGATCACATCGAAAGGTCAACAACGTACTGCAGTTCCGGACACAACGGATAATCCAGGAAAATAATAATGATCTCATCTGAGGTCGGAAATTAATTGAAATATAACAAGCTAAGCAGATTAGCATAATCAGCAAACCAACAGCGGATCTTTTGAAGGTCAAGGATATATTATGCGCCAAAACAAAGTACTCTAGTTCCATGAAACAAACGGTGCAAACTATTCTTTACAATTATCCGAAAACATGGCAAGCAGTGTCCCGCTTGCCTGGGCATCCCAGTAACATCACTAACATCGGATCTTCGCAGTGATTGTCCGTAAAGTTCTTATATTCAAAGATTAATCCAGTTAGTATGCCGAATGCATCCATTCTAGTCAAAAAGGCTACCTGAAGCAGTGCAGATGCATGCATGCCTATCGCTTTCAGGTTCGGCACGCCACTATTGTAGAGTTACACAATCTTAATAAGCCGTTTTAATGACTGGGAAATTTACAGTTATTGACCAAAACCTATGTCTTTAAAAATTTCAGAGTTGCTTTGAAAGATTTTAAAATTAGTGGTACTTTTGTTCGCAGCTCCGCCAAGAACGTCTTAGCGATCCCAGCGGAGCCCTCGATGATCTTACTAAGATGCTACTACAAGTTAATGGTAGGACCTTCTGGTCTAAGCAGGAGCTTCCGGCTTGTTTATTCCGCGTTTAAGATTATTTTCACTTTTCTTATCACCACTTTCAGGATGTACTGTCACAACTGATTCGGTATTAATAAAAAAACAGTCACATGTCAAATCCAGCTAGCTTAGAATTGTCTCTTGAATTACTCTATCTCTTGCGCGCACACACCACGCCCAATACGTTACTGTGCCACGCATCCGGTGAGTGCACGAATGTTAATGAAGCGAAGTATTACGTGTAATGTTACATGGGGCTCTGGTCCACCAGCAGAGTGACCATCAGACGATGCATTGGTCAGACCAGTTGGAAAGGTGCCAGCTTACAGTATTGGTGAACGACGCTATGAATCACAGCTAATCGAATCATCAAAATATTTAGTTAACAAGCTATTTAACGAGTACTAGATTTCAAGTATTTAAGTATTTACTGAGCAAGCTAAATTACATATAAGTTTTAAACAAAACTGTAAGCGCTATTCAACGAATATATATTAGCTAATATTAAGGCATATCGGAAAACATTTCGGCGTAATGGAAAATCGTTTCTGGAAAAAAATTGTACAATAAAAACCCTGTTATGCAATATGCTCGTACAAATCGTACGATATG